GAGCAAACCCCGGGCGGGGACGGTGAGTCTTCCGCCGGCGGAGGGGGACGGAAGTGACCCAGGGCAGAGTCAGGAGTGACTGGTGGGCTGACATGTTAAGGATGCACACCCCGTCAGCCGGGGCGGGTCGAGCCGAACCCGCACCCTTAGGGCCCTGGGTTGGGGCCCATGAGAGTGGGTGGGCCCGGACCCCCCTTCCCCTCCCGCCTGACTTGGGAGAAGGAAACCGAAGACAAGGGTGGACAGAAGGACTCGGAGCACTGGTGCAGGGACACATCACGGGAGAAATTTGGGGGTACCGCCGCGAGGTGTCACAGCACCCCATAGTCCTCCCTCTGGCCAGAACTGGCTGTGCCCTCCAACCTGGATCTCCTGGTAACCAATCCAGTTTTGTGCTGCTCCCTTTAACAACAAACTCCTCCTCCCCTCACCAGTAACACCCAGAGACACCGAGTGTTCCCCTTTGCATGCAACCCCCCTTTTGAACCCTCCAAAATTTTCCACTTTTTCACAACCCTGTTTTCCCCTTCCCAGCTCTGACACCTCAGACCCTTGCCTGTGTCTCCATTCCTGTGACCTCTTCCTTCTTAGCAGTCCCACATGACCCTGACATGGACACACCTAGTCACACTCCTTACAACTTATGGTCATGGGGGGGGGGGTTCGTGTGTTTGGGGCCTTTATCTCACTCCATTTGTATCCCAGGGGAGGGGCAAGGAGTGAGGCAGTGCACTGTCCAAGACAAGGCTTTTCTTTGGGTTTTAGCATTTCTTATGTCTCGCCCTGCAGCCTCATTGTCCCTCCTAACTGGTTGCTTGACCTTGGCTTGAGAAAGGAGCCAGGCAGCCTTCCAATGTATGCTCCTTACATGCTCACCACACCCTTTAACACGTAAGCTCCATCTCTCATCTCTTTTCACCCCATCTGCTCATGGGCCAAAGTAACACACTTTCGTATTATTCTTCTCACATATTGGTAGGGCTATAGGAGTATCAAAACTCAAACCCGAAATTCTGTCTCAGGCTGACAAACATACCATTAAATACTATTTTAGGACATACTATTAAAGGGAGGGGTGAGCTTTCAATTGAAGCATGTGACATTCTCCATTATCAAAAACAGAGCAATGAATGAGAACGAGCATTTTTTTCCCAGCACGGCAAGTGAGACACTAGTGTAAAGTTCTCTCCCAATAAACTGGTAGATGGGTTGATCCTGCACTAGATAGTGCAGTGCTTTGATCCACTATAACTTGAAGGAGAAAACCTAACCAGCTGGAAAAAATGAGCTTTTTTGAGTAAAGCAAGAGGTGGGTTTTGTTTTCAGTTACCCCGGGCAGGGATGGGGGAATCCCAGTATCAAGATGCAGAAACTGGCAGGCAGAGAGGCTAGCAGAGTCCTAGTGCAAGAGCACTGATGTTGGTGGGTGGGATGGGGAGCTCAGTACAAGGACATGGGGTGTCATGAAGGGGACAGTCATGTAGGATCCTGGTTGTCTCCTATAATACTAACGGCAAGTGTTCAAAACTCATGAATCAGATCACCCCAAAAGAGGGGCAGCTTCTTGAAATCACAGATAAAAACATACTTGGGGATCTTTTTATTTGGTCTCTGATGTTTGAGGCCTTTGGCTGAACTTGGGGCCCATTTCCTAGCTTTTCTCCATAACCATATTGTAGCAAAAATGTATATTTTAGTATTGGTTATAAGACTGTAAGTATGATGTATAATGGTTTCATGTATATTGGCTTGCTTATAAGTTCTGGCTGCTTCTATTTACCCTGTCTCTCATGATTAGATAATAATAGAGATGTAGCTGTGTTAGTCTTATCTTGCTGAAACAAAAGACAGGACTATGCAGTACTTTTAAAGACTAACAAGATGGTTTATTAGGTGATGAGCTTTTGTGGGCCAGACACTTTGCCAAAGAATTAATACACACAAATCAGACATCAGACATCTTCACAAAGATAAACCAGTTTCTTTTCATTTCAACCAACTGGAGCATAGTCTTAACGACCTTACTACATTTATCTTACTTCAAAGAGACTTTAATATCAGACTTCAAAGGGAAACCTCAGAACTGTCATTCATGCTTAAATTTGACACTTTACGAATGGTCCTTAACAAAGGTGCTAATTACCTTACCCATTACAAAGATAGCTTCCCCAATTATCACCTCTAGTATCATCTTATAGGGTATGTCTACACTACAGCGTTAATTCGAGTTATCTTAATTTGAAATAGTTAATCCGAATTAAGCTAATTGGAAATACTGCGTCCACACTGAGTGGACACTGATTCAGATTTAAGGCTGGCTGGAACCAGGACAGGTGTAGGGCATCAGATCAGGAGTGTCTTTGTGTGACTGTTGCCTGAGGCTATATGAGGCTTGTGTTGAAAGGGGGACACACACACACATGGGCAGCCGGTTCCCAGGCTTCCCTGCTTGCTTGCCTACCTTGATGAGGGACAGCAAAGCATTCGTGTCTCTGTGTGCTCTGGTTGCCCTCACTCGGGACACCACAGAACTCTGCAACATGGAGCCAGAGCTGCCCCTGGGCACTCTGGTGTTTCTCGTGAACATGTTGCTGTGAGCCTGGCTGCACTTTCTGCAGGCTGCCATCTGGGAGATCCATCGGGGGGCTGTCAGTATCCAGGAGGCCCTGTGGGAGAGCTTCCACCCTGAGGTTTACTCAGAGCCTCCCTGGTCTGCCCCACTGGAGGCTTGTGCCTCATTCCTCCCTCATGTCCTTCCACTTATCTCTCCCCTCAACCGCGCTTCCTGAGGTCAAAGAAAATACACGTATTTTCATGAACACAAACTTTCTTTATTTAACAAAACTGGCGGGGGTGGGGATGAAACTCTGGTGAGACTGGGAAAAGGAGGTGGGAGAGGGGAGGGGGGAACCTGGGAGGAGGAAGCTGGAAGGAGGAGACAAGGGGAAGAAAGGAGAGGGGAAGCTCAGGGCTCAGGGTTGGGGGTCTCACCGGATCACCTCAATTTTCATGCGAACCTGCTCCTGGGATCGCATGTGGACTTTGGTGGCCAGGCTGGCAGCTATCCTGCCATAAATGGCCGCATTCCTCCATCTAGTACGGAGATCATGGACGCTGGGGACATCCCCCTCTCCACCTGAGTAAGGTCCACCCTGATCTCCGCCCTGGACCAGGAAGGTGCCTGCCTTCTCCAGGTCCTGGCAGGCTCCTGGGAGCTGGCAGACTGCTCCTGGGGAGCGATGGGGGGGCTGACTGCCAGTGGCTTGCTGGCTCATGTTTTGGGGCCACTAGGTCAGGGGCAGTCACTGCTGGCTCTGGGCTGGCAGGCTTGGAGCTGGCACAGGCACTGTGGCCAGGGGTTACCCCCTTAAGGGCTCCGGGGGAGGGAGCGGGGGAGGGAGAGGAGTGTTCTTGCTTGAGGCTGGAGTGGCCTCCAGGGCACCTTGGGAAGGCTGGAGGACCCCTATTTTGATTGGGGTGCGGGGGAGGGCTGGCTGCCAGTGGCTTGCTGGCTTATGTTTTGGGGCCACTGGGCCAGGGGCAGTGACTGCTGGCTCTGGGCCGGCAGGTTTGAAGCTGGCACAGTCATTGTGGCCAGAGTCAACCTCTTTAAGGGCTCCGAGGACCGGGGGGAGGGAGAGGAGTGTTCTTGTTTGAGGCTGGAGTGGCCTCCAGGGCACCTTGGGAAGGCTGGAGGACCCCTATTTTGAAATAAGTGTCTACACAGCACTTATTTTGAATTAGCTAATTCAAGTTTGGTGTTACTCCTCATAGACTGAGGTTTACCAAATTTGAATTAAGCGCCCCGCTATTTTGAAATAGCGGTTTACCTGTGTAGATACTATTAAAGTTAATTCTAAATAACTGCTGTTATTTCAAATTAACTTTGATATGTAGACATACCCATAGATACTAGCCCTCTCCCTTACCTCCTTTCTGTTTTAAATCTGATTTGTCAGTTTTATAATGTGTTAACTTTTTTTTCATTGTATTCCTTTGGTCATGCCAATTCTCTTCCAGATTTTGATCTGAGAAAGTGGATCTGGCCTACGAAAGCTCATCACCTAATAAACCATCTTGTTTAAACTTTAAAGTGCTGCATAGTCCTGTCTTTTGTTTTAGCATGATTAGATAATGTTACTGTAAGGCCTTGTTTCCTGTTAGCATCACAAATTAAGTTGTACCCCTTGTCTGCATCACAAGTAAGTTGTGTCTTTTAGTAACTATTAATCTTGTCTGATGTGCTGCACAATTCTGTGGTGTGAGTGGAGAGCATGTGTGAAGCCATCACAGATGCCCAGATGATCAAGAAGAAGTGGGAACCTTGAAGATGACCAGGAAACAGCCGTTGTGTCTGAGGCTGAATTGAATTAGCAGCATTGACAAAACCCTGGAGACAGGCAATAGTGAGAGACAAGGCTGTGAAGCCTGACAATCACCATCCAAAGGGTAACTCTGGAAAACACAGATTAACACCATCTAAGGGTGGATGATGGCAGCATGACACTGCAAAACGCATAGACTCCCATGGGAACTCACATATATAAGAAGGGGAGTTCTGGCCATTAAACTCTGGGTTTGGGCCTGCAAGCCAAGCCTCAGAGAAGTCTAAGAGGAACCCTGAATCCTCGCTCAGTAAGACTAACTTGAGCCACAACGGACTGGCAACTATGCACCATCTGCAGGACCTGCATGTGCGTGTGTGTATGTGTATGTGTATGCCTATGCTTCCTTTTCATTTTGTATTTTCAATAAATGTGGCGTATTGCCTTTTCCCCTGAAAAAGATCCTGTGTGCTTCTTATAAGCATAACAATATGACCTAACAAAAGGCAGGACTATGTAGCACTTTAAAGACTAACAAGATGGTTTATTAGATGATGAGCTTTCGTGGGCCAGACCCACTTCCTCAGATCAAATAGTGGAAGAAAATAGTCACAACCGTATATACCAAATATGACCATATATCACTATATGACCTAACATCTTTATTAAAAAAAAAAAAGAAAAAAAAAGACTAAAACAAAGTTGGGATTCTCTTCTAATGCCAGGCACCAACAAACAAGCATAACCTGCTAAGTCAGAATGATCACAATTGACAGTGGTGCATGAGGCATCAGGGAGTGAAGTTCCTAGATCTGGCTTAATTCTAATAATGTGGCTAGTGCTTTCCAGAAAGAAAACTGCCTCAATTATCAGGAGGCTTGTGATCAAATCAGGAGCGGTGGTATCTCTGAGATCTAGTCCGTCTCACAATATGAGTGAATAGTTTTGCAGCTTACAGGTATGAACAGGATGGCTCTGCACACATCTTACGCAGGCCAGAGACATGGAGCTAGCAGATGGAAGACACTCTAGCCCAGTGGTCCCCAGCGCTGTGCCCTCAGGCACCATGGCACCCACCAGGGCATTTATGTGCACCTGCTAAACAATCTGGGCACGTGACACATGCTGGTGCTGGCTCTGGGTGCGAAGTGCATGGGCAGCCCCTGCCCCGGGCGCGTGGCAGCCCCAAAAGCTTGGGGACCACTGCTCTAGCCCTACTGTGCTGCTGGTGGGGGCAGTGGGAGCCTCCAGCAGATTTTAAATCGTCCAGAGGTGTCAGGCATGTCTGGGGAGTGCATGAATAAGCAGGTGGTCCTGGACACATATGGATGTAGGGGGCAATGTACGGAGACCTGCTAACCCCACCCAGAGCCTGCCAGAGGGAGATGCCTGCTGGCCTGCTAGGAGGATATGAGGACTGGCACTGGCCTAAGGTAAATTGAGTTTGAGACTCCTCAGTTAGAGGGTGACAACATTTGCTCATGTCTTCACAAAGCTAGTTCAACACACCGTGTTCTCCCAATACTGTGAATGTCAGATAGTTTTGTTTTGTACTTCAGTGGCTAACAAAAATCAATGCAGAGAACTTCACAAAGGATTGCTTAAGTGCTTATCAGAAGCTTCTGTTTCCAACAAGTAAATACAGGCAGACAACCTCAAATTGCTCTGTCTGTGCATTTATTGTATCAAAAGCCTAAGTACTGTGCAGTTTCTAGAAACAAATCAGGACTTGCAAAGCTAATGCAGCTGCAGCTCCACCCTCTTCAGGGCTGCCGCCCATCACCTTCAGACCAGCTGCCTTCTAGTGCACTTGCTGTGGGAGGCAAAGGAATAGAATAGAGGATTAGTCATGGGTCACTGCTAACCACTGAGAACCAAGCAATGATCATTGTGTGACTTAAACACCAGGGTAAGGCGCAAGCAGGCAAGTTTTCCATAGTGCAACTTGCTCATGTACAGTCAGCTGTGTATGAACAAGTCATCTCCATTCTGGTTCATAGATTAAGGATCTAAATAGAATAATGTGTGAGGACAAATCGCAGGAACTAAATAAGCTTTGTGTACTTGAATGACAGTAATGTTTACATTATATCAATATTTATGCAGACAGATTAGAAGAGCTAGCTCTCCTTCTGCTGACACTGATGTAAATCAAAGATAACTCCATTTACATCAGTGGATCCTGGTCTACAGTAGGAAATTAGGTCCTTAAAGCTACGTTGCTCAGGGGTGTAAAAAATGCTCAGCACTAAGGCCAGGTCTACACTAGACCTGGAAGGTTGGCTTAAGGTATTCAACGCCAATGACATAGAATTCCAGCTATGTAAAATTCTGGAGTCAGCGTACCTTAAGCCAACCTTGGCAGTGTCTACAAAGTGGGAGGCCGAAGGGGGCAAACATTTCCCTTACTCCTCTAAATCCGCCATATTGAACCCTAGAACATTGATCTCCAGCACGGGGAGTAAAGATATGCCCTAAGTGACACAGTTAAACTGAACTAACTCCTCGGTTGACATTCCATTGATCTAGCTACTGCCTTTCAGGGAGGTGGATTGCCTACTTTGACAGGACAACCACTCCCACTGGTGTAAGTAGTATCTTCACTGAAGCACTGCAGCATTTTAAGTGCAGACAAACTCTTAGTAACAGTAAAAACAGGATCTCTGTGTTTAAATGGAGTACATATCAAGGACAGACACAAATTGACCCTGGAACTAGACTTCAGGGAATTTGACTGATGAGGGAGAAGAAAATGGACGAATTGTGACTGACATTTCTTTTTAGTCTTAATTTTTCAGATTCATCTGCCATCAGCCAGTTGTTTACCTGGGCTGTGTCCAGACTCAGGGTTTTTTTTCGGGAAAAGTAGCCTTTTTCCGAAAAAACTTCCCCTGCGTCCAGACTCAAGCCGCGTTCTTTCGAAATTAAATCGAAAGAACGCGGCTTTTCTTTCGATGGCGGTAAACCTCATTTCACGAGGAAGAACGCCTTCTTTCGAAAGTTCCTCTTTCGAAAGAAGGCGTTCTTCAATGTAAATAGGGCTTCTTCGAAAGAGAGCATCCAGACTCACTGGATGCTTTCTTTCGAAAAAGCAAGCCGCTTTTTCGAAAGTTCAACGTGCAGTCTAGACGCTCTCTTTCGAAAGAGGCTTGCAGTCTAGACATAGCCCTGGAGGGGATTCTCTGCTATTTTATTGTTGGTTCTTCCTGTTAAGTGGTGGCAGTGAGTGGAGCACATCTGATGGGTGAAACCTTACATTTTGTTTTCTCATTCACTCACTAAGACTATGAAAGCTTCTGCACAACAGAAGGTGTGGTTTCTGCTTGACTATGCTGAGGTCCTCATGTGTGATTGAAAACAAAAGTTAGTTCAGAAGGCCACAACATATTTCCAGTAAGTGCTGTGAAAAAATGAATGATTGCAAACACAGCACCAGATAAACAAGCTTTCTTAACTCACTCTATTTCCCTCTTTATGCTTCCTTTTTACCTATCTATTTCTCTCTTCTTTTCTTTCTGATTTTCTATCTGTTCTCGCTTCTTTTCCTCCATTGCTTCTCTCTGGTCTTTCTTCCTCTTCTCTCCCTTTTCTCTCATTCTCCATATTTTTCATCACATTTCACTTTTCCATTTCCTTCTATTGTTTCACTCTTG